TAACAAAGCTTATTAAGTAAATGTTCTGCATCCTCCTTTGGTGAGTGGCAGCTGGGGTCTTAAAAGCTAGCAAGCGGCCATCTAAGATGCATCAGTTGGTCCCAACCACCTGGAGTAAAAGAGAATGAAGAACACCAAAAACACAGGGAAAGTCTTGGCCCAAGAGACAGAGGAGGCCACATAGACCAGAGACTTCATCAGCCTGAGACCAGAACTAGATGGTGCCTGGCTGCCACCAGTGACCACCCTGACAGGGAACACAACAGAGAGTCCCTGGTGGAGCACCAGAAAGGTGGGGTGCAGAACTCAAATTCTAGTAGAAAGGCCGGACTTAATGGTCTGGCTGAGACTGAAGGAGCCCCAGAAAGCATGGCCCCTGGACACTCTGTCAACCCAGAACTCAAACAATTCCTGAGGCCAACTCTTCAGACAAAGATTGGACTGGACTGTGGGACATAAAGTGATACTCATGAGGAGTGTGCCTCTTAGCTCAAATAGATACAAGAGACTAAACGGGCAGCTTCTGTCTGGAGGTGAGATGGGAAGGCAGAGAGGGTTAGGAGTTGGTTGAGTGGACATAGGAAATCAAGGGGTGGAAAGGAGGAGTGTGCTGTCACAGTATAGGGAGAACAGTTAGGGTCACATAACAATGTATGTATAAAGTTTTGTATGAGAGACTAACTTGAATTGTAAACTTTCACTTAAATTACAACAATAAACAGAAAGAAAAACATAACGTATTGGAGGATAAATCCCTATAGAAAGGAAGCCAGGAGTGGGTTTGAAAATGGAGGTGAAGTGATCATGTTCCTAACTGAGTAAAATGCTGTTACAGTACTAATACCTGACTTATCTAGAAATCATCTAGAGTCATTGTTGTATCCTCTGCATCAGAGTAGAGCCTAGATCATAGTGGGTGCTTAGTAAATATTTGAATGTTGGATATTCTACAGTCTTTGTTATCATTTAAAATTCTGAAAATTATGGTTAAAGTCTCAGTAGGTTCAAATGTGTTCCGTACATTTATTTGCTTAGGAGCCCTTATATTCTCTCATAGTTTCTCATAGCACAAGTGTACTGTATCATAGATAAAAATGCTACTAATGTGATCTTGGGAAAGTCACTCATGTATTCATTGGTCTACAGATGTTTATTGAGCACCTGTTATGTTAAGTGCTAGGTAATTGAATCATATCATGAATAGACTGTTTTTAGGTCTAACAAAAAATTGTATTTTTATTTTTTATTGTGTTAAATATATATGTAACAAAACATTTGCCATTTCAGCATTTTTTACATGTTCAGTTCAGTGACGTTAATTATGTTCATCATGTTGTACAACTATCACCTCTACCAAAAATTTGGATTTTATCCTGGGGTTTTATGTGAGTGATTAAAAGATCTTAAGCAGAGGGGTCACATAAATATTGAGAAAGATAAATACAAAGCAAGTAATTGGAAGGGGTTTAGTGCTTTTTTTTGACCAGGGGATTTATTCAGCATTGCTGGCAGAGTGTTGCAAGCCTATTATTTTCCAATGTGATTTCATGAAATTATTTCGCATTCCTTTTTAAAAAAAGTAAAAGATATTTTGAATGAACGTTTCAAATGTTTGGGTTCTCTTAAAAATCCTCCCAGGGAAGTAAGGACTGATGCCGCGTTTTCTCGTTCCTGTTTCTTTAGGAAAAATCGCTTTTCTGGTTGGTGTGCTCAGTGTCGGGGTCATTCTTTTTTTTTTTTTTTTCTTCCTTTTAAAAAAAATAATCAATTAAAAAACAAGTATTGGCTTGCTTACCACCTCACTTTCCACTGTTACCATCTGCTGTTTCCAAGAAAGGCTTCTTTTTTTCCCTTAGGCTTCCTCTAGAATGTAATTTCATAGGTCCTTTCTTGTTACCAAAAACAGAACAAACAAAATCCCTGAAAACTGGAAATCAAATGATCACCTTCTTGCTCCATCACATTCCTCTAATTGGTTGATCTTGAGTTACACAAAGGACTAGACATTTTCTTAATTTCACAAGAACTTTCCGATAGTTGATTTTGAGGTAGGACTGGGCTTGTCGTACTTGATGGACGGGATAAGGAGGAAGGTGCAGGTTTGTGAGGTTTAAGCACCAGTTAACTACCAGTCGGTAGTCCCGTTTCTAAAAAATAATTCATATCTGTATATAAATTGGAAGAGCATTTATTCTTTTAGGTCACATAGAACTTGGAATGCAGATGTATACGCTGACATAATTATAAGCAACATAATTTAAAATTTGTTTTCTTATTGACCACAGAAACTAATTTGGGCCTCAGAGAAAGTAATTGCTTAGATGAATCATCACTAAGAAAGTTGCTATTAAATATATTCCTATTTGTTTCCTTTAATGTCTTGTAAATCTTTTATGCACTAAACTTTGGCTTTGATGGAGTCTTTCATGTAAATGTAAAGAGAATCTGAATCTTTCTCACCATTCTTCCCACAAATGAGTATTTTTTTAATGCATGAGTAAGGAATAGGGTTATGTGTGTATGAAATTTTTTAGAATATTTTCTATATCACTAAGGGTAAACGTTAAATTTTTTCTAATAACATTCTTAAGTAATTTGTTATGAGTCTTGCTTGGGAAAAAAATCCCCTAGGTATTTAAAATAAGAGTATAAAATCTCTTTTTTCTTATAGATGTACTTGAGGGATACAATGGAACAATATTTGCATATGGACAGACATCCTCTGGGAAGACGCACACAATGGAGGTGAATTTTATAATTTGTAACTGATTCTAGTTTGTAGTGCAGACAGTACATTCGTTATTTGTGGGATTATATTACTATGCGTAAACATCTTTATTTGCTCTGGATTGCTTCTTCTGATATGAACATCATTACTAGAATGTAACCACTTCCTGAGTTTGAATAGTGAGGGATGCCTGTATTTGAAATTATACACAGCTTTGTTGGTGGCGCGGTGGTTAAGCCCTCGGCTGCTAACAGAAATGTTGGCAGTTTGAACCCACCAGCCACTCCATGGGAGAAAGATCTGGCAGTCTGCTTCCATAAAGATTATAGACTAGGAAACCCTATGGGACAAATCTACTCTGTCCTGTAGGGCCACTGTGAGTCGGAATCGACTTGACAGCAATGAGTTTTGTTTTGTTTTTTGTTTTATCAGATAGCATAACCACCACATAATGAACATTTTGGAATCTCTTGTTAGCTGTGTACAAAATTAATTTTTTCTTCTGGTAAATTTTCGTATTAAGCATTTTTTGTCACCCTGTATATAGGAAATTTTGATTACTTATGTGTTGTTATTTCTATTCAGAATGATTACTTTATTCTCCTCTTCTTGCTCCCCACCAAAATACCTGCCACTCTTCTCTAATAAGAATGTTAACACAGTTATTGCTGCTGCTGTTAATAAGTGTAGACCTGCTCTAGTTTTGCTCCTAGAAAGTAACCTGTTATCTTTCACAACTGCTGTAGAGTATCTGCTTTTGTCACTTACCTGAGCATGCTGTATAAAGTAATAACTTCGTATTCATACTACTCATTTTCATAGAGTCGGAACAACAGGGACATTCCTAGCACCTGCGTGTATTTGACTTCAAGTAGAAGGGAAAACACAGATTGATAATGGAATGCAACATAACCTTTTCCTAGAATATGTTTGTTTATAAGTGTAGATAATTCAATGATTAAATAAAAAGCTAAGATCTGTTGGACAAGCCTTGTGTGGTTAACATACAGTATTATATGTAACTGACTAATACACAGAATATTTTTTCATTTTTTTTTTTTTTTTTAAGGATTTGTAGAGCCATTTCCACCAAAATTAACAATTATAATTCCTAGCCTCTATTGACTGTAAATTGTAGATTGAAGGTTCTAGTTTTTAATTTATACTTTATAATTGTTTAAGAAGCCTGTTTGTGTCTTCTGTTTAGGGTAAACTTCATGATCCAGAAGGCATGGGAATTATTCCAAGAATAGTACAAGATATTTTCAATTATATTTACTCCATGGATGAAAATTTGGAATTTCATATTAAGGTAACGTCCTTGGGGAAAGGTATTATTTTACTATATGTTATTTTTATGGACAAGTATAGTTGAAAGATCACTGGGGTTAGTAAACTTGGATTCTTGTTGATGTGCCATTATATAACTTAAATTACCTAAGTCTCTCTTGTCCTTAGCTTCCTGTTTATAAAATAAAGAAATTTGTTTTACCACAGAACTCACAGGTTCCTACTACTCAATAATCTGATTCATTTTACATGGTGAAAAGGAAATCACTTTTAATTTTAGTTATTTAAACAGGTTAGCTAATTTATGTCTTCCCATTAGGTGAGCTATGTCTGATTTATCTGACAACTCTGTCTCCTTAGTCTAGACAGTGCCTGGCACTCAGATCTCAGTAAATATCTAATAATTAAGTGAATAAATCATTTTGTAAATTGAGTAAGTTAATCTTTTCTCCTTTTTTATTTCTTCACCATTTAGGTTTCGTATTTTGAAATATATTTGGATAAGATAAGGGACCTACTAGATGGTAAGTTAACTTCTTTCTCTTTGATCATTTTTAAATAGCTCCTGTCACTTTTTTTAGTAGTAGATTTGAGACCATTTCATAAACTACATGAAACTGACTGACTTAGTGCAGTAACGAGTCTCCTATCTGATTATTTAGCGCTTTAACGATGTACGTCTGTCAGAAATGAACACCGAGGTGCAAGGCGAGAGTAATGCTGGCTGTGGTGGTGAAGGTTATATGTCACCTTGGCTGGGCTGTGGTTCTAAGTGGTTTGGCGGTTATATAATGATGTAATTTGACAGTTATGTAATGATGTAGTCATCCTCTGTTTTGTGATCTGATGTGGTCATCCTCTATTTTCGCGTACTGCTGTTTTTCGCATAGTGACGTGGTCTTTGGAGCCTAACCATGGTGATAAGTGAGGAGGGGGCGTATAGAACGTTTAAAAAATCTTATTTTACAATTTTAGTTGAATATCTTTTGACATACAGAATAACTTGCTTAAAGGACATATGTATGGGTACTTCTTAAGTGGTAATAAGAGCCTTGGGCTGGGAGTTAGAGAACCCAAGTCTTCAGTTCTGGTTTTCTCTCAGCTGTCAGTGAGATGCTTTGTTCTTGGACAAACCATTGATGAACCACTCTGGCTTCAAGTTCTCATTAAACAATGGGAGAGGTAGAGGTTGGACTAGACCTAAAATTTCTGTATTGCTGCGTTGGTTTCTGTATGAATCTACTATTTCCACAGGGTCTTGGCTTTAATAGTGATGTTTTCATAGTTTTTCTAAAGTTTGCATATTGTCTTTAGGCTGCTTGGGGAAGGAAACTATCGATTGAGTTAGCTATTTCACAGCCAGCGTTAGAGTTTAAGAGAATGTTGCTAAGATTTAAAGAGGATTTTTTTTTTCCAGTTTCAAAGACCAACCTTTCAGTTCATGAAGACAAAAACCGAGTTCCCTATGTAAAGGTATTTATAACACAATATAGAATAGTTGTTTTGAGAAGCTGTGTAATAATTTTTTAAAAAGATGTTGACATACTTTTAAAAAATAATTTTATAGGGGTGCACAGAGCGTTTTGTATGTAGTCCAGATGAAGTTATGGATACCATAGATGAAGGAAAATCCAACAGACATGTAGCAGTTACAAGTAAGTTAGAATATTTATTAATACTGGCTAGGATACAAAACAGCTTTAAAGTATCTTTTATCCAGCTGATTAATTGTAAAATAATGCCTTAGAGATATTTTTAGTAACGGAAAACTGTGTTTGTTTATAGTTGTTTATGCAATTTATTGCAGATATGAACGAACATAGCTCTAGGAGTCACAGTATATTTCTTATTAATGTAAAACAAGAAAACACGCAAACGGAACAAAAACTGAGTGGAAAACTTTATCTGGTTGATTTAGCTGGTAGTGAAAAGGTAAAATCTTTATATTCTTTGGTAGATATCTAAGCATTTTCATAAACTTTAGGTTAAATTTATACTTACACAGTATTCATTGTTGCATCTTGAAAAATTTTACCAAGTTGGTTTTGGTAATATTTAGGACAGTTAAAACCATTGATGACAGTACTTCATGCAGAGTAATCAGTTCCAAATGACTGTCCTTTGGACGATAGTTCAACTGTAGGTTCTTTGACTTAAGTTGTTTTTATTGAGACCTTATTCAGTATATGTCCATTGTTAAGAATTTTATTAGGTATCCTTTTCCTGATTTTTGATTATCTGTTTTATTCATACTGGCAGTAGATACTGGTAACATTTCACTAGTTCTTTCTGGTTTGGTTATACTTCTTTTCTTTTGATAATTATTTCATTATTATAGTCTTATACAATCTGATTCTAGTTTATATGAAAATAAGTTCAAATTCTTGGCCATTTTCACTGTTTGGCTAATGCTGTTTCTTCTGATTAGAGTGCTGTACCTCTGCTCTTCTACTCAGAAGTCTTAGAGACATCTTTCAAAGCCTGTCTCTAAATCTTGTATATTCTAAGAAGCCATTTCTTCGGTCAACATGGCTAACTTAATAGTTTAGCCTGTCTATAACATATGTATTTAGACATTTTATGTTTTTTTAAAAAGCAAGTATGCTTATTTAATTAAACTGAGTCTCTTTTCTGGCAGTTACATCATCAACATGGTTCAGCAAATTTTAAAATTTCTTCTAATGTAGTAAAAGGGACTAACAAATTAGTGAACTAAAAGTTTGCATGTTAATTGGCTGTTTTCAAGAGCACAAACTAAAAATAAAATTTGGTGTCTCTGTAATCACATTGTTGTCGTGCAGCCAGTTGTTTGACCAAAGGTCTCCAGAGTAGCGCGCAGGAAATTGTGCCTTACGGGAAAATCTTAGCTGATCATATTATGAAGCAATTCATGGTTTGGTTTAGGATTTTTGGTGTTTATTGATGAACTCTGAACTTTTTAGAAAATTCAGAGGAAGTATTTTACGCTTGTAATTTTGTTTCATTGTTTTGAAACCTTACCTATAGGTTAGTAAGACTGGAGCAGAAGGCGCTGTGCTGGATGAAGCTAAGAATATCAATAAGTCACTTTCTGCTCTTGGAAATGTCATTTCTGCTTTGGCTGAGGGTAATGTGAGTATACAGGTCATCTCTTTCCCTGTTATTTTGTGGAGAATTATTTAAATATCAATGTGTATATATATGGAGGGGTGCATGTGTGAAAGTGAGAAAGATTTATTGTGTTTGAATCAGTATGTGTAAGAATGTTGTCTTTTTGAAATCTGTTTTATAGTATTAGTACAGTGTGTATAAGGAGCCTTGGTGGGGCAGTGGTTAAGCTCTTGGCTGCTAACCAAGCAGTTCGAACCAGCCAGCAGCTCTGTGGGAGAAAGATATGGTGGTCTGCTTTTGTAAAGATTTACAGCCTTAGAAGCCTTGTGGGGCAGTTCTGCTCTATCCTGTGTGGTTACTATGAGTCAGAATTGACTTGATGGCAACGGATTTTTTTATAGTATGCATATCCTAGTTCCCATCTTAAAATCAAGCAGTTAAAATAACTGTACTCACTTTGTAATTTATTTAAAGTAACATATTTATATAACATTGAGTTATATAGGAACCCATTAGTCTTCTTTGTTTCCTTTTTTGTATGTAGACTTACGTTCCATATCGAGATAGTAAAATGACAAGAATCCTTCAAGATTCATTAGGTGGCAACTGTAGGACCACTATTGTAATTTGCTGCTCTCCGTCTTCGTACAATGAATCTGAAACAAAATCTACACTCCTGTTTGGTCAAAGGTTTGTTGTTTAAAAACTACAAAGCCTAAATGTGGGCAGGCCTTTTAAGTCTAAGAAAATGTCAGTTGGCTATAATTCAGTATTATATAATAGTCAGCAGTTCAAATCCTTGGAAACGCTGCGGGGCAGTTCTACTCTGTCCTGTAGGGTTGCTATGAGTCAGAATCAGCTCAGTGGCAACGGGTTTGGTTTTGGTGTTTATTTAGATTAGTGCATATTATGAGTGTGCTAAACATATTGCTTTTTAATTGAGAAACAGTACAAGCAAGGTTCAATTTTAGGTTGCTTGGATTTGAATTAAGTCTAGTACACATTAAAGTCAGATGTCACTTAGTCAAATTTATGGAAGAAGCTTTAATTCAGCACTAAAGAAAATAAGCATTTGAATCAGAAAATAAAGTAAAAGCCTAACAAATACAAATCCTGTGTTAAACCTGTTGACATATTGTGATAGGTCCAAATAATATGAGATGGTTGGCCTAGAAAAATCCATAATGATGACTTTATCTTTGACCTTCAAGAATAATTTCTTTTCTTAATTCAGCCTTACAAATGAATTGGGAAAATACTGGTCCTTGTTTTTTTACCCTCATTGGGTTGTTGATTTTTTTGTTTTTTTTTTTTTAAACCATGCATAGAAGTTTGGGCTGACCCAAATTAAGTGGATTGTGAGTAAACACTATACTGATTATATAGCTTTCAGTGTTTGGTCTAAGAGATGACTGGACAAGAAGAGTTAAATTACTTATATGCACATATATTACTTAGAGATGTACCTAGGTATCAATTGAAAATAATTGTTTTTCGTCATAGTCTTTTTTTTTTTCCTTTTTCCAATTACTTCTCTTAGGGCTAAAACAATTAAGAACACAGTTTGTGTCAATGTAGAGTTAACTGCAGAACAATGGAAAAAGAAGTATGAAAGAGAAAAAGAAAAAAATAAGACCCTGCGGAACACCATTCAGTGGCTCGAAAATGAACTCAACCGATGGCGTAACGGTAATGACTTACAAATTTGTGTTTTTAAGTTCATTGAATACAGATTTAGAGCTATTTTGTACAGTTGAGATTCTGATGTGAATATAAATGAAAATAAGAAAGCCTCTCCATTTTCACTTCTTAAGCACTTAGGGACCAGCAAATAAAAATGAATAAAATCTTTTACATTAAATTCCGATATGACTTAATCTAATAAGTATAAGGCACGGAGGCCAACTTGGAAGCTATAGAAGTCATGAGATACCAGGGTGCTTAGGTTAGGGTAGAAGTGATAAAAATGACCAGATTTGGTGATTGGAATTATAAGATGGTGAGGATCAAAGGTAAGTCCATGTTTTCAAGTCTCAGAAGCTGGGCAGATAGAAAAGTTGGTGAGAGGTGCTGAAATTGAATACAAATGCAGTGAGTGTTAGACATGATGATTTTTGTTAAACACTGTGTTCTCTTAATGTAGGGGAGACAGTGCCTGTTGATGAGCAGTTTGACAAAGAGAAAGCCAACTTGGAGGCTTTCGCAGTGGATAAGGATATCACTGTTACCAACGATAAACCAGCAGCCACCATTGGGGTTACTGGGAACTTTACTGATGCGGAAAGAAGAAAGTGTGAAGAAGAAATCGCTAAATTGTACAAACAACTTGATGACAAAGTAGGTATTAGGTTCTATTTTGTTTTAGAATATTATTAACATTTTTTTTTCCTAATTCGATTTTGTGAGTCCTTGTCACGTATAAATAAAAATTCCTTGATTTCTGTTAAACTTTTAAAAATTGTTATAGTAGCAGAAAATATAAAATTATAATTTCATCAGATTTACTTCTGTGCAGAAACTGCCTGAGGCATTTTTGTCTGTTTTAAAGAAGTTTGAGGTTGGGTCCTTGGAGAGCCCGGATGAAACGACCTGTTAGAAGCAGGGGTCTGAAGGACCCTCATAAAGGATGACTAGATACGAGGCAGCAGCGATTGTGAGGCTGGCGCAGGAGCGCACAGGGTTTTGTTCTGTTGTATGTGGGGTCACTGAGAGTTGGAACTGACTCAAGGACGTCGAACAACAGCAACCAGAGAAGAGATGAGATTGAGGGAACTGAGCAGTGTGGAGATATGTTCCTGCTTGGTTTATGTCAGTAATGTCATTAGTGTGAAAAACATCAAACTATGAAGTGAATAGAAAGAAAGGCAAGGGCAAAAACAGTAGAAACAAGAAGAAAATAATTGTGTGTTTTTTAAGCTGATATTTTTTATTTTCCCCCCCTAAGGAGAGATGGCAGGTTTGAAGTAACTGCATGGCTATTACAGCGTTAAATATGTTAATTTTTTTAGCATTTAAAATGTTTAAGGAGTGGTTTTTATCAACATAGGCATTTTTTCTTGTTGCACGGTAAGTGTAATTTGCATTTATTGATAATTGGAAGAAATTCTATTTCAACCTTTTCTCAAGAAAAGAGATCAAAATAAGCTATGTTGAATTTGAAGAGATGGTTTTGAAATATTTTGGGGTGTGCTGATCTTTTATAAAAATAATAAACTGCAAAAAATAAAAGATTTTGATTCTCATTTGAATTCTCTTATCTGATTTTACAATTTGGTTAGGAAACAATTAGAACGAGATTGTGAGCTATTTTGTTAACTGGATACTTTAAAATTCTAGGATGAAGAAATTAATCAACAGAGCCAGCTGGTCGAGAAACTGAAGACACAAATGTTGGATCAGGAAGAGGCAAGTTGAATACCTTTCATATTACTTACAGAAAAGCTTTATAGTTTGACCTTAACATTTAAATATGTAAAAGATAAAAACAATCTGCAGAGCTCGGAATATACTGAAGAGTTTATTTTAAAATTTCTTGAATATGTGCATGCTTCATTGTAGATATTTTGTTAGTGAATCATGGGTTGAAGCAGATTGACTTGAGATTTTTTTTTTTATTTGCATCCCATCTAACTAGAAGAAGAGGACTTTTTTTTTTTCCAAGTATTTATTCTTCAGCTGTATCTACTGGTCTTTTTACCGCTTGTCTTCTGCTTCCCTTGCTTTGAAGTACAAAGTTGTTTATCACCTTATTCCCCCAAAATATTTCTTACTGATCCTGTGGGGAGATGCACAGCACTGGGCTGGAGAGTAACCCGAGACTCCCTCCCCAGCAGTGAAAAGGATTTACACGCAGAGGAGAAGGAATATAAGAAACACAGTTTTTTGTTCTCGCTCATTCACTTAAACAGCTGGATATAGTTCTGAGAGGATTATTAAGGAAAGAAAATGTTGGTGTCTGAAGCCCATTTACTTTGATTTTAATAATTTTGTAATTCTAGGGATGATTCTTGTCATGTAAGCAAGCATATCATAGGAATAAAAATCAGTTTTTTACTCCTCCTCTGCTCTTTCTACCCACATCACTCTATTAGGCATTTCTGCCATCTTTACTTTCATCTTACTTCTTCTCTCCCTGTCACCTAATTTGGACTCTGATTTTATCTCACCTGGCATAGTAGGGAGATGATTGACAGTGACCCTTTTTTTTAAGACTTTTTTTGTTGTTGGCTGATTGGTTTTTTTTTTTTCTTTATTTCTTTTAGTTGTACTTTAGGTGAAGATTTACTGAACAAATAGTTAAACAGTCAATACACATTATTAAACAGTCAGTACACATATTGTTTTATGACATTGGTTAACAATGCCACGACATGTCAACCCTCTCCCTTCTCGACCTTTTTTTTTTTTTTTGGTGAAAAGATACACCATTTCCAAAATTTCTACGTGCACAATTCATTAACATCGATTACGTTTTTCCAGTTGTGCTGCTGTTCCCACTTCAGATGAAGGTTTACAGAATAGTTTCTCATTAAATAGTTAGTACACATGTTGCCCTATGACAATGGTTAACAACCGCACTACACGTCAACACTGTCCTTACTCAACCTTGGGTTCCCTATCACTAGCTTTCCTGTCCCCTTCTGCCCTCTAGTCCTTGTCCCTGGACTACTGTGCCCCATTAGTCCCATTTCGTTTTATGAGTCTGTCCAGTCCTCGACTGAATGGTGAACCTCAGAAGTGACTTCACCACTGAGCTAAAAGGGTATCTGGGGTCCATACTCTCGGGGTTTCTCCAGTCTCTTTCAGGCCGGTAAATCTGGTCTTTTGTGTGTATGTTAGAATTTTGTTCTGCATCCTTCTCCAGCTTTGTCCAGAACCCTCTGTTTTGATCCTGGTTAGAGCAGTCCCTGGTGGTAGCCAGGCACCATCTAGCTGTACTGGACTCAGTCTGGTGGAGGCCTTGGTAGCTGTGGTCCATTAGTCCTTTGGACTAATCTTTTCCTTGTATCCTGTTCTCTTCATTCTCCCTTGCTCCCGAAGGGATGAGACCAGTGGAGTATCTTAGGTGGCTGCTCACAGGCTTTTAAGACCCCAGATGCTGCTCACCAAGGTAGAATGTAGAACATTGTCTTTATAAACTGTGTTATGCCAATTAAGCTAGATGTTCCCCGAGACCATGGTCCCCACAGCCCTCTGCCCAGCAGTTCAGTCCCTCAGGGAGTTTGGAAGTGTCTATGGAGCTTCCATGACCTTTCCTTGTACAAGTTGTGCTGGCTTCCCCAGTATTGTGTACTATCTCACCCTTCACCAAAGATAGAAGTTATCTATTGTCTATTTAGTATTTCTCCCCCACCCCTCTCATCCCTTGTAACCAACAAAGATTGTTTACTTTTTGTGTGTATGATTGGTTTGTTTTTTGACAAAGGCCATACAGCTTAAATAAAGAGTAATCCATCAAAGCTCTCAGATCAGTCAAATTAATCCTGGTCAGATTATCTTACACTTATTTCAACTAGACCATTGTTTCTCAGAGGGGCACTAGTGACATTTTAGTTACATTCTGTCTTGTGCTTTAAAGGATATTTAGCATCCCTAGCCCCTACTCTTAAATGCCATTAGCTTTCCTTCCCTTTACTGACACATACACAAATTTCCAAATGCTCTTACTTAAAAGCCACTGACCTTGGAAGATTGCAGTATCCTCCTAACTAGTTTCTTGGCTTCCCTCAAGTTGAAATTTTATATGCTTGATCCTGTGTTTTCCTGAGGCACGGTTCAGATGCCTCCCCGCCCCCCGCTGCCCAAAGAAAATCTAAACATCTCCTACTACTTACTTTCTTGTTTCTGTGCACACTATTCATGAGCCTGCAGGGCTGCCTTCTTCCTATTACATTAATTTGTGCGTGACTAAAATCTGTGTGTCTGTCCCAGCCACGTTCTCCAGGAACACTGTCACTCCAGAAATACCCCCTTTCCTGGATTACCAAGCACTTTATCCGTCATGCCCTGTCCCTTTTTCATGGTTCTTATATTCCATCTTCTATCACAGGTATTTATGTACCTGTTTCTCTTCTACTGGAGTCCCTGGGTAGTGCACGTGGTTAACATGCTCGGCTGCTCACCGAAAGGTTGGGGGGTCGAGTCCACCAGAGGTGCCTTGGAAGAAAGACCTGTTGATCTGCTTCAAAAAAATCAGCCATTGAAAATTCTAGGGAGCAGTTTTACCCTGATGACACACATGGGGTCGCCGTGAGTCAGAATCGACTCGATGGCAACTGTTTTTTTCTCTTCTACTACGTTCCTCAAATGGAAACCCTGGTGGCACAGTGGTTCAGTGCTATGGCTGCAAACCAAAAGGTCGGCAGTTCAGATCCAACAGGCGCTCCTTGGAAACTCTGTGGGGCAATTCTGCTCTGTCCTGTAGGGTTGCTATGCGTTGGAATCTACTCGATGGCAATGTATTTGTTTTTTCTTTTTTTAGGTTCCTCAAAGGCAGAGTCTTTATTTGATTTCCCTCTTGTCTCCCAGAGTGTCTAGTACAGTGCCAGCCCAGAGTAGACATTCAGTGAATCTGTTGAATAAATAAGTGTTGCTGTACTTAATAGAATCCACATTTCATTCCTTTTGTGCTTAGCAAATGGTGAAGCAAATAGATGTTCTTTTTTAAAAAAAAGAAACCTGTATATTTATTTTGGTTGAAAAGAGATACTTACTTCACTTTTTCATGTAGCTTCTAGCATCTACCAGAAGAGATCAAGATAATATGCAAGCTGAGCTGAACCGCCTTCAGGCGGAAAACGATGCATCTAAAGAAGAAGTCAAAGAAGTTTTGCAGGCCTTAGAGGAGCTTGCCGTCAATTACGACCAGAAATCTCAGGAAGTTGAAGATAAAACGAAGGAATATGAATTGCTTAGTGATGAGCTAAATCAGAAATCAGTAAGATATAGTTTTGTTTGCTTAATATTTTACTACAAGTATTCTTAGTTGAAAAATTATTTAAATTGCTTGTATCTAAATAAACCCAAGACTGACAGCATCAATTCTCAGACAGGCTGAGTCTCAATTTCAGGTCCTCCTATATATGAAGCCGTAGAGGAAGAGGATTATCTTTTTACTTTCTAAAGGTCTATTAATCTGCAATATAAAAACTTATTTTTGAAAGATGCTTGCTATTCCTAATGTTAAAGAAGAAAAATTAAAAGCTCCAAGTTACTCAGTAAAGCTATTAGATGATTATTCAAAGTACAAGTTAAACACTGTGGATGAAAATAATAAAATGCTGGTCAGCTGAGTGAATTATTTAGAGTAGACATAAAAATATGTAACTTCATATAGCTTGTATTTCGTTTACTGTTAAATTCCCAACACCTGGAACAGTGCCTACCTAGCACAATATAGTAAGATCTTTTTAGGATTTTTACTTACTATAGGGCAAAAATTACCAACCTGTAACATTGATGCCAGAAAATGGTATATAGCTGTGATTGCAACTGCTGTGCGCCTTTCAGCATCACCATGGATGCATATTTTCTTACAGTTTTGTTATTGTTAATGGCTAACTTCGTGTTTAGACATCAGTAGCTAGATTTGGAGTCCTTATTAGTGTCTACCACTTACTTCCCTGTCCACGTTCTCCTGTCCAAACAAACGGAGTCAGCGCTATGAAGTAGCATTTTTAGAAGGTTCCCTGCTCCTGTTCATTTTTCCTTTTTCATCTCCAAAGTTGGTTAGAAGTTACAGTTTAATACCATGGAGACGAAGACAGCTTTGTAACTCTTGATTAGTTGTGTTAGCAAACCTAACCACTGTTTTGAGAACAACAGTAGTTTCTTAGAACCTGAGTAGATTGGCTGGTCCTTGGTCACTGACTTCAGTCTTTAAAACAGGTGTGTTTGTGTCTCAGATGTGAAGCTGAAATCCATCAACACTAAATTAGCAACAGAAGTTATAAGCCCCTAGTGTTAAGCATCTTTTTATATGCTTACAACAGTTGGTGTTCACTTGTTAGAGGAAATGTCTGGTAATTTAAAGATTCCTGGTAGAAGCCTGTTACATTATGAGATTTGCAGGTTAACCAGCATATTGTAAATTAAACTGGGTGAACACGCACTCCATTGACACCCAGAAATGACTGGCCACCAGAACAAACAGGCAGCTGAGATGATGGCGTCTTGACTAAAAGTCAGGGAGCTGCATTAAAAATACAGTATCTCGCCTGTGATGTAGTACATAGTTTTAAAATGGGCCCAGTTGGAGTGGTTTTTTTCAAACGGCAGTGGCTTCTTTGTTTCTGGTAAACCAGCTATTTTAAATTTATAAGTACAGTAATTAAAGTCAGGGAGTAATATTACTTTATCACTAACTCCTGGATAATTGTTTGTATCATAGTATCAGAATAATAATTATCATCATCATTCAGAGGATTCTTTTCAGTGAGTATGTATATAAAAAGTATATAAAGACAATGTAACTAGAAAACTGTCACTTCCATTCTAACATTAATTTACTCAGACTCAGTTTGCAGAGACAACCATAATATAGCAATAAGTGAAAAATTGTGTCTAGTTAATTTTTAAACATCGCATTTTAGTAAGTATTTGAAATGAGTTTTTATCAGATGTAACTGAACCTTTGTTTTTGGTTCTGTTAGGCAACTTTAGCGAGTATAGATGCCGAGCTTCAGAAACTTAAGGAAATGACCAACCACCAGAAAAAGCGAGCAGCTGAGATGATGGCATCTCTACTGAAAGACCTTGCAGAAATCGGGATTGCTGTGGGGAATAACGACGTGAAGGTGGGTGCCCTGACCACGCGTTAGTGTGATTGCCTGTACACAGCTCAGACGTTTGTTTACTGTTTCTGTTACCTGTTCTCTCATCCTTAAAGCAGCCAGGTGTGCTAGATGGTATTAACTCTGTTTTAAAAAGATGAAGAAAGAGAGGAAGAATAAGGGGTGCCTAAGTAAACATTCAGTAGATAACATTTATTAGACTCCATGTCTGGTTCTTTCTCTACTACATAAAGATTTTATACTAAGAAATCATGTTAATTATCATTCATGAAAGTGTGTGACTGGAACAACAGTGAAGATAAGCTTAGAGAGTAAACTAATCCATAAATGAATAAAGATAAAAGATGAACACTGATAATTAATCCTTACCGAAAATTTCTAGTATGAAAACATTCAAAAGTGCAGAGAATATTAATATAATGAACCCTAGAGTTATCAGTTATAAAATTTTGCCATACTTGCTTTTCTCTATGCCTTTTTTCTTTCCTAATAATCTTCTTAAGGATACTGATAATTTGAGTATGTTAGCACTAGCTAGGCATGTGGTAAAAATTTTAGTGACCTGTAGATTTTGAAATTTAGATCAAAAAAACAAACTAATTGCAAAAACATGCACATAAAACTTTTGTATGTTGTAGTAGGTGTTTACTTGGACTTAACCCTTTTGATTATAGCCTAATTGGGTTTCTATTAATAATTGGTTTTATAGTGAGAACATACCAAGAAGCTCAGTTTAACAAGAGTTGAAAAGGAAATAAAAGTTTCCAGTATGGATCACACATTGCTTTTGTTGACTGTGTTTTTCAAGCCGCTGTTTGTCAGTGGAGGCAAGAGTTCTTTGACCCTTCTTGTCATATCATTCCATCTCTTAGTGTTGCCTCACCTCAGTGAAACAGAGGAGAGGGCTGCTATTGCCTCACCTCAGTGAGACAGGAGAGGGCTGGTGTTGCCTCACCTCAGTAAGACAGAGGAGAGGGTTGGTGTTGCCTCACCTCAGTGAGACAGGAGAGG